ATTATGCATTCTGGACCTGGGGAAATCACTACAGGATGGGTTCGGGGACCCAGTGGACCTACTGTGAGACGGACATGAGCCAAGACTCCGTTAATAACCTGACCTCCATATGCCCCCACTCTGACTGGTGGGCCACAGTGACATTTTGGGTCTCCTGGAATTAGTGTCAGCTCAGAGCCAGTATCCAGTAATCCCCGAAAACTCTGATTATTTCCTTTTCCCCAATGAACAGTCACTCTCATAAAAGGCCGTAGATCTGTTTGGGGAAGGCTGGGAGAAAAATTAGCAGTAAAAATCTTTGGCAGTGTATTGGAGTCCTTCCTCAAGGGGACCCGGCCTCCCCTTCATTAAAGAGGTTGTGGGTCTTTAAACTCGCTCAAATCTGGGAATTGATTGAGGGACCATGACTCTCTATTCTGGCGATTCGAGTTAGACTGCTGTTCACCTGACCTAAAATTCATCCATTTGTATAGATCAAGTAAATGTTTGGTAGATTTCCTATCTATTTCACTCCTAGGGACACCATAACTAAGTAGCCAACGCCATAAGTCCATACAAGTCAGACTATTCTGATTACTGCTTTGTCTCCTCTGTCCATTACTGTAACCACGCCCACCTTGTCTTTGTTGATTGAGTGCAGCCACTTGGCCCCTACTACCATGAGGTCCAATCAGCCCCATTGTAGTTAGGTGTCTTAATTCAGTTAGGGCAGTTCCCACTGTCAAATCTGACTTACATAAAACAGCAATCACAGCAGTATTCAAGGATACTGGAGCTCCCTTCACAAATTTGTTACTCACAGTTGTGGTAAAGGTGTGTCCTCTGGACACTCCGTGTGTGGGTCTGTGGGTCTAACTTGATAAATCCACTCTAGCATGCCAATTTCCCTAAGCCTTTGGATACCTTCTTCTACAGTATACCAAGGCAGGTCTGGTACTTCAACTTGATTTAGTGTCGGCCACCTCATAATCCATGCTTCAGCGACCCAACGAAATTATTAGATCCTTTCCTAACTTCTCTAGCTGAAACATTGAGTGAACAGTCTCTGCTTAGTGGACCCATATCAATAAACTCAGACTGATCCATCTTTATGTTCCTTACACCATTATCCCACACCCTTAATAGCCATTCCCACACATATTCCCCAGGTTTCTGTATGTACATATTAGAAAACTCAAGTAGTTCTTTTGGAGTGTAGCATACCTCCTCCTGGGTCACACTTTGTACTTCACCTTTTGGGGCTCGCTGGGACTTAAGCCTAGTTATAGGTCTAGAAGCCAGAATCGGTAGTGTGGAACTGTTTTGAGAACATTCAGCATTATCTTGTAAAGCATCTGCCTCAGGTGATGCTCCAGGCAATGACTCAGGAAAGTGCTCTTTAGAGGCAGCTGGGCTAGGGCTAATCTCATTAGACAGGAGTGGAGGGGCTAGTAGTTTTTCTGGGCAGGGTGGTTTAGCAGACAAACATGAAGTAATCTCTTCAGATGGGACTGGTTCTGCTGGCAGGAGTGATTCAGCAGAATTTACAGGCTCAGTGTCCCCAGCTTCCTGATTATCTGCCCAAATGTCCCCATCCCAAGTCTCAGGATCCCATCTCTTCCCAATCAATACCCTTACTTTAACTTCAGACACCTCTCAAGGTTTGCAATTGAGCTGGCATTGTAATTCAGCCACTCTTACAATAAGACTCTGGATTTGGTTTTTGGCAATTTCAGCTCTGTTACTACAAGAAATAAGGCTTTCTTTCAAAGCACAAGTGGAAGCCTTGAGGTCATGTATGCGGCACTTGACCCTTGACTCTGAAGCCCTGAATGCATCTCTTTCCTTCATCAGTTTGTCTAGCGAAAGTAGGACAAACCAACCAGCTTCCTTATACTTCGCATTCTGACAAAGCTGTAGAAAGATATCACACATGTGTTCACCCTGAGCCTCACCTTTCACCAATACCTGATCTACCAGTGGTGATACTTTGCGTATTTGTATCGCCACCTCGCTCCATGGACTAGTAGTGACCTCTTTACTTCTGGAAGCAGAGACATCAACGTCTTTATGACAACCTGACTTGAGAACCAATTTAGAAAACTCATCCTTACAATTTTGTTTCTCTAGAACCACTCCTGGTACCAAAATGTCTTAGGCTGGGTTCTTTAGAGAAGCAAAACTGGTAAAGTGTATAAATATATATATACAGAGAGATTATATCAAGGAAACAACTCATGTGATTGTAGAGACTAGAACGTCTCAAGTCCATGGATCAGGGTAGAGGCCTCTCCCAAGTCATGCAGCTGCAGAAGCTGGCAAGCCCAAGATCAGCAGGTCGGAGAGCAGAGCTCCCGCTCACAGGCTGTGCAGATCGACGAATCCCAGGTTCGGCAGATAAGCTGATAGCTCAAGTCCCAAGAACCAGAGATGAGACGACAGGAA